CAATATGCACACACGATTCACAATATAATAAATTAATATTGATCAAGGTTCAATATATTTATGGATCTATAAAGTATTTCAGTTTAGGAAATATTGAAATGCATTTCAATATTGAATAAAGATTCATACAGGAGAACCTGTACACAATACGCACGATTCAAGAAGAATAAGAAGAAGGAGGAGGAGGACCTATATTGTTGTATGCATGATTTCATCTTCGTTCCTCCAATATTATTGAGTCTTGAGTTTGGTTTGAGAAGTACAACTGAGAAATCTTCTTGAGTTTGGTTGAAATGAAATGGGAGAAATGAGATTTTAATAGAAGGAAACCTACATTTTTGGGGTTTTTACTTTTTCTTTTACTTTCCAAAATTACCCATGCTAAAATCAAGTTTTCTCCACCCAAAACCCTTTTAACTACTGCCTCATGTAAATTGAGGCAAATAGCTAATGGCCTATGCTTTACTAAGACTAAGGCTTACGCCCCTTGATCTGAGATTGAGGCTACCAAGGCCAGGCAAAATTTGGCCACCTCACCTTGAGGCGTACTATGCTTGAAGAACAACAAGCAGTGGTCCGCAAACTTTGACATGAATCTGCTCAATGCAGCTACATGACCTGTAAGGTGCTACACTTCTTTGTGTGTCCACGGTGACTGCATGTTCAGGATGGCCTAGATCTTCTCCACATATGCTTTGATTCCCCTTTATGTGACCATGAAACCTAGGAACTTGCCGGAACCGATGCCGAAGGTGCACTTCATCGGATTTTGCTTCACGTGGTACTTTCTAAGGAGGCTGAAGACTTCCTCCAGGTTAGCCAAGTGTTACTATGCCTTCTTGCTCTTCACCAGCATGTCATATATGTATGCCTCCACGTTACGATTGGGCTACTCTCTGAAGATGTGGTTCACCAGCCTTTGGCAAGTGATGCCAGTGTTCTTTAGCCTAAAGGGCATCACCTTGTAATAGTAGAGGCCTTGGTCCGTGACATAGGCGGTCTTCTACCGGTCCTCTGGGTGCATTTGGATTTGATTGTAACTGAAGAAGGCATCCATAAAACTTAAGAGCTCGTGCCCCCCGCCGTTGCATCGACGAGCTGGACAATCCTCGGTAGTGGGAAACTGTCTTTTGGGCATGCCCGATTCAAGCTAGTAAAGTCAATGCAAATTCTCCACTTCCCATTGGCCTTCTTTACATTATCATGTTCGTTAGTCAGTTTGGGTAGGTCACTTCTCAGATGAAGTTGACGTCTAGTAGCTTTTGCACCTCTTCGTTAATCACCTGCCACTGTTCAAAGGTGAAGCTCCTCTTCTTCTGCCTCATAGGTGGTAGCGTGGTCAATGCTAAGCTAGTAGGTTATGATCCTGGGGTCGATTCCTGGCATGTCTACTACTGACAATGCAAACACATCGGTGTTGGCTCTTAGAAATCATACGGTGTCATCCCGAAGACTACCTTCTAGGAGAGACTTTATCTGCATGGTTTTCTCCGAACCACCATCGAAAAGGGGGAGTTGGGTGAGGTCTTCCATGGGCTGGCCATGCTATGTTCGCAACTCATCTCTGAGGTCCATTATTTTCGCGGTGAGTGCCTCGTTGGCACGGGGTCTTCCGCAGTAGGCCGCCAAGTAACATTGCCTTGCCGCTCACTGATTTCCTCGGGCGACGCCTACCCCATGTGGGGTTAGGAACTTCACGAATCACAACCATGTAGTATGTGGAGACCGAGGCTCGCAATGTATTCAATGTCAGCCGGTCAAGGATGACATTGTATGAGGATAGGACATAAACAACGATGAAATCCACCATTACCGTGCTAGTGACGAGGCCATCACCTATTAGTAATGGCAAGGTAATCTTCCCCTAGGTATCAATGAGTCTTCGGAGAAGCCTACTAGAGGGGTGTTGACTGGTTGCAGGCAGTCTTTGCCTATGTCAAGCTGCTTGAATGCCTCTTCAAAAATGATGTCAGCTGAACTCTCAGTGTATATGAGTATCCTTCGCACCTCAAAGTTTGTGATCTCGACGGTTATCACTAGAGTGTCATCATGCAACATTTGCACCCCCCCCCCCCCGAGGTCATCGTTGGTGAAGGTGATGGGGAGTGTTTTGCTTTGGTCGCTTCGGCTCTCTATCATTGACCTGGTGCAACCTGGCATAAGCCTTTTGGCCCGAGCTGCTATCTCTACCAGAGGCCATCCTGCCTGAGATGATAGCGATGACCCCTACTGGGGGGAGCTTGGGCTGTGGGCACATCAGCGCGGTGTAGCTCTTCTTTGGGCTTATTCTCTTTGATATCGATCAACCCGCCGAGGTATCTACACTAGACGAGGTCTTCCAAGTGGGTAGGTCATGGCAGCTTTCAGTCTCGTGGTCGTGGTCCAAGTGGAAGTTGTAGTACTTGTCTCAACTTATCTTGTTGTTTTGGGACTTCATCTTCTCAGGCCATCTGACGAAACTACGGTCCCGGATTTGCATCATCATCTCACCCTGCGGTGCATTTAGCATGGTGAAGTTGTGGTACATCGGCGGTGGGGTTCTCGGCCTATGATTAGCTCAGTTGTTTTGTTTCTTACTTTCCTGATTTGATTTTCAATCGCCGTAGTCTCTCCACTTCCGGTTGTGCTGGTCTTATTCTTTTCTATGTAACACTTAAGGCTCTTTGGCGTTCATGTACTTCTGCGCATGCTTCATGAGTGCAGTCAAAGTGGGCGGAGGGTTCTTATGTAGGGAGAAGCTGAACATCGACGAACGTATCCCATTCATGATGGCGACCACAACCACTTACTGATATAAGGTTAGAACCTGAAGAGCTTCGGTGTTGAATCTCGCCAAGTAGTCTCGTATGGTCTCTCATTCCTTTTACCATACTTGCATGAGGTTGTCCAAGGTCTTCTAGTGCCTTTGGCTGGTGGTGAACTACGCCAGGAGTTGCACTTCTAGTTGCTCCTATGAGGAAATGGAACACGATGGAAGTGAGGCGTACTAGGTTCTGGCGAGTCTATGGAGGGTTGCGACAAAGGCCTTGCACATGAGACATTTCAGACGAGTTGTGCAACACCATTATTCCCTTGAACCTTTTGAGGTGGTCGTTAAGGTCCAAGGCCTCATCGTATTTCTTGAATTGAGGGGGTTGCCATCTAACGGAAGGGAGCTCATCCATGATCTCTTGCACGAAGACAAGCTCTTTTGTGCAGCGTTGTTTTATTGGTCGGACCGCCAGAGGGGCTGCGTTGCGATATGCCTGGCTACGTTGCGATATGCCTGGCTACGTTCTAGCTCGGGCAACCTTCCCCACAACTTTTTGATCTCAGCGTCTTGATCTGCCAGGGCCACGTTCATGGTTTTCTCTACCTTGGGTGCTGCTTGCCAGTCTCATATCAAGCTGGATTCAACTATCGAGATTGGAGTAAGCGTTGGCCGAGTTGTTCTTTCACTGGAATTTTGGCACTAGAGTGATGAGATCTGCTGTGAGTGTTGTAGGCTTGAGGTTGTGGTCAAGAATCAAACTTTCGAGACGATTGAGGATGTTGCGGTCTGATTGGGTCTTCTGCTGATTTGCGTGGTGCCTTTTGGGGTCCTAGGTGTGAGGATCAACCATCATGGGCACCTATGCGACAAGATGATTGGGGGAGCTTGTGTTGACTGTCCCAACATTTCCACCATAGTGAGAATGCACTCGACCTTTTGCTGCATGGCATTGAATTGTGTGGGTCGACCGCCGTCTGAGGTTGGGTCTCTTGAGGTGGAGAGTTGCAGAGTGAGCAGGATCCCCGAGGTGGGTAGCGGGCTCCAGAGTGGTCGGATGTGTTTCTAGGTATGATTATTTTCAACGTACGGTATGAGGTTAGGGAATCGACTTTTTGTGCATATCCCATAGACGACACCAATTTGATATTGCCTGATCCGAGGTGGCCCGAATCGAGGACGTAGTCAAATAGTCATGCCAATTGGATGAAGACGAGGTGGAAGGACGAAGTCGTACACCAAAGAGATCTGTAACCACAGTAAGAGAACGGGATCGGTTGGGACAAGCAGAATGGAAGGATGTTGGTCTGAACCAAGGAGGTAACAAGAAAGGGTGTTGAGTGAGTGGAGAGTCAAGAGTTCTTTACCTTGAGTGGAAGATGCCTATTAGACAAGCATCCATGTCCTAGTCGGATTGGGCTTCCGGGGTTGTCGGGATGAGGTTATCCGTTGAGGTCTTCAGAGGGTTCCCCTTTCCTTGGCGGAGTTTGCTTCATTGTTTGTGTGAAACACTCCTTTTGTTCGCGCTCTTTTATTACACAGTTTCAGATGACGATGCTAACGTGGTCTGAGGAGGGTGGCCACAGAACCCGCCACGCAACATCTTTGGCTAGCTCAGATACCACCCGAACATAAGGCCTATTTATTTTTTGGATTTTGAGAAAAGGGAAAAGTTGGTCAATGGGATTTTGGCTCCCATTGACCAAGATACCCATATTCTTTTTTCAAATTTATGTGGGGTTCATGAAAAAATTATTTTCCCCTTCTCCTTGGTGGATAAATAACTTTCTCATTTAAGGGAAAAAATGCCTTAAATGGGACAAATTTACCCTTTTCAATAATGACTTTTTTATGACCAAAATGGTCATTGTCTTATTAAGAACAAAAAAACATAGATAAAATCGTAAATACAGTTATCCAATTAAGTATTTTATAGAAAACATTTACTAGGATAAATACAATTACAAGAGTAACTTCGCAAGAGCGAATGGAGCTTCAGAGTTTTTTGAAATAAAGAACATGGGTCTATGCCTCATGCCTTTTCACATTTTCATTTGTTTTAAGAGATCAAGTGGCCATTCCCAACGGAAAATACAAAAGTTTATTGATGGAGGGTTGAATAAGAAAGGTATGGTAATTGCAAATTATAAAAAAATGTTTTAGTAAAATGTAAATTAGAAGGTAGTTTTATTTTATATACGTAAAACTATAAGGGGTGTCTAAGTAAATGACCCCTCAAAAAAAAAAAGTAGATGCCAAGCTAAGAAAAGACGTGGATTGAAGATGAAGAAGCCTCGTGGAGATGGGCTTGCAAGTTGCAACCCCAATTTAAAATCTGTAATTCATAAAATTTTAAGCCATTAATCCATTATACGAGGAGACCAGTGCCCTGTTTTAGCGGTTTTTTCTCCCTCCACGCTCCAAAACCAGGTTAGCACTTAGCACTAGCATTGCCCTTTCTCCACACCACAGGCAGAAGCAGAACCCTAATTGACGCTAATTTGATTCAATTCAATTTCAGTCATTTAACACACAGACACTCGCCTAGATAGTCCATGTACCCATGCGGTTTATGCATCCGAGGCGTCAACTCTTAGTCGCTTTTCTATAAGGAAGACGAGATGGGACAGGCATTGCGTCGAGTCTCTGGACGAGCCCGGAGCTCGATCAAGGACCCTCCGGTGGCATCGTCGTCACACGTCAAGAACGTCGAGAGGCGGTCCCCGGTGGTCTCCTTTGAGCCGACGCAAGATGCGAAGAACCGTGGGGAAGGTGGAGCCGGTGATCCTATCGATTCCGGTGAGTGAGTTTCAGTGTGTATTGAGTTGCCGCAGTCCATCAATAATCAATTTGTATGATTACATTATTGAACGGAGTTATTCCTTCCACTTATAATCAATTCGACTGCTTGACGATTTTTCTCATCCTATATCCCCTTATTTTAATTGTTAAATAGTGGTCCGCTTTCAGTTTCAGTTTGAGAGTCCCGTTCTTGGTATCTCCACTGTTGTTAAATAGCGGTCAGTTTTCAGTAATAAGCGCTTTCACAAGTAAAAGTATAGCTGAAGGTTGCAACAGACATCTAATTTACACATGTTACTTCCCCTAATGCAATGTGGCATCAAATGAATTTGGGCTCCGTCTTTTGATTCATGCTGGAAATGCCCATTTACACTTGAGCTTCTCACCTGAAAATATATCTGGGTATTGGGAGGTGTAAACACTCCTAACCTTGGGCTTTTTTTTTTTTTTCTTTTTTTTGCAAGTGGCAACCCTCATATGCTCATGTCCTCATTCAGCCAGAATCTGTTAGGTATGATTGATGTGGTGTCCTGCTCTCTAGATTCTCTAAGTTCTTTTTTTTTTCGATGAATCTCTAGATGCTCTAAGTTCTTGCACTATAAGATTTATTCTTCGCATTGTATTATTTAAATCTCTTTTCCAGTCAGAAGTTCTATAGTCTATATTTCGAGTTGCATAGAGTTCCTTTTCCCGTTCCTCCTTTTTCTGTGATTGACTACTTATTAGAATGTCTTACTAACGATTTCATGCCATCCCTATAAGCTTCTTCAAGAACAGGACATTGAATCCTGTTTCATCCATGATAAAGTGGATTAACAAAATAGGTTTGGTCTAGGCAATTCCATAGAGCTGGGATAGAGCTTAGTAGAACACAACTGTATGAGGAAGTCAATCACATTTGTTCTGTAATAGACTTTTAGCTTGTCATTTCCACTAGTATGATATTTGCAGTTGTTTATCTTATTAAGATATGATGTAGTGACAACTTCCAAGTAAATGATCTTCAAATTGAAAAGGGGAAAATTTCAAAGTTCTGGCATTTATCCCTTGATGTAGTTTATCAAACTGTTTCTTGCAGATGTGACTCAATCAAGCCAAGTCCATACTCAACTCAACAAAGCCTTTTCTCTACTATGACATCAACTAAATGAATCCTGCTCTGCCATTCAACTCTATCAAGTGCCACATCCATTTGTTAAGTTTTGATTTCCCAAATCTTTCTCACTACATCCAACCATGCCCTTTTTGGTCCAACCACTTGCAACATCTCACTTCTTACTGGCGTGTTTGCTGCTTGGTGGTCTTTTATGAGCATGCAGCAACATTTGCCTACTTTCACTCATTTTGTGACTCGTCAAGGCTACTCCTGAATTCCCATGAATGCATCAATTTCTAAACCTAATCCTTTCTGGTTTTAGCGCTGTCTTTATCAACATTTGCATCTCCGCCACACTTTTTAATCATTATTACCTAATTACAACCATTCTACTCCACACAGGTTGTGTATTAACCATTTTGAAATATTGGAGATTCAACCATTTTGAAATCATTTTGTAACACATAATACATTTTCTCTGTATAAAGGAGGTGGATGTGTTTTACTTCCCTTCAGCATATTATGACTAAGAAATTCTACTTGATATTTTTTCTAATTGGTTTTGTCTTTCTGTTTTTAGATAATATCCCAAGGATTAATAGAGAGAATGTCCTTGAAGAGAGAGATCCAGGATATGATGCCATGCTTAGTCAGATGGTGGGTAGAATTAGATCAAAACCTGGAGGAAAACTTGAAATGGGAGAGGTAAGGTTCTGAAACTTGCTGCTGTATATTTTCTCAGTCACTAAACTCTTGATTTTAGTGACTAGAAAAGTGCAAGGCTTCTAAACTCTATTTGGTTGATTCTGATAAATTTATTAAACTGGACATACAGTGTAGTTTCTTGGTACTATAACGACTGCTAAAGTTAAAAGTAGTATTTCTATTACTTTTCTCTTCATGAAAATACGAGGTCTTCTTTTTATGAATGGTATTATGAATTGAGTATACTCCTGTGGTGCTACTTTTTCTTTCGATGAATCTATGATTCTATTACTATTTTCATTAGTTTTATATCAATCTTGACTGAGAAAAGACTGAAAAAACATGTGGTTTTATATACATCATTATTTTTAAACATTAAATTATATCAAAAAAGATTTTTAAACTCTTTGATAAAGATAAACATCCACATACCACAAATGATCTTGCTTCTTGAGTTTCTTTATGGTAACCACTAGCTACCACTTTCTCTTTGTAATCAAGGCTCTTATGAGCATTTTTCTCATTGGACTTATGGAATATGGCTCCTATTGAGGCATTTAGTGTACTCCTTTCATTTATGGAAAACTGGTTAACAAAGGACCAAAAGGCGATAAGTAATGCTCATATTCTTTTCCTGTGAACTGTGATGCTCTGGTTTTTGCTGGTTTAGCTAACTTATACTTTTATTCTCCCTTGGTATTTGGTTTTTACATGCAATTTAGCATGTGAGCATTACATGCAGACCTTGGCTTCACTGTAAGAAAGGGGCCATTACCTGTTGTTGGTCCTAACTATCTGTCGTCTTAGAGGGATGGGCTATGGACCTAACCTCTGTTTTGTTTTGTTTTTTTTACATGAAGTGTCTACTCTCAGACTTGAATTTACATCCTGAAACTTGTCAGCCTGAGTTTTTTTCCATACTACCAAAGAAATGACCCCTCTTGGCTTCACTTCATCAATGGTCCCTTAATTTATTAAACCGGCAGGTCCTTTTGAAGCTGTCTGATTATGGTCCATCATGACTTAAAAATCCGTAAGGTTATATTTCTTGCACTACCTCTTTCTCCTGTTGTTCCTCTTCTCAAATAGTGATTCTAAGTAGCTTGTACTTCACTGCTTTCACATGTTTTCTTTTCCTATTTTAGCATTTGGTTATCTGGCATTGTTTCTGGTTTTTCTTCTTAATGGATAGTTGTGTCCTGGGTCAACAGTTTAATTGGCTGGTCAATAGTAGAGCCATCAACCAATTGGGTCTGGCCCAGGTTAGGGTAGACCAGGATCCAATCCAATAAGAAAACAAACAAACCTGACCCCAATCCAAATCCTATAGGGTCTATAAGTATTATACCCAGAACCAACCCTATTATTAATTAGGCTTTATGGCTTATTAGGTTTGACCTGATAAGACCCAATTGTACTTGACAAGCCTTTAGATTGGTATTTTGACAGTAAACCTACTAAATTTCTTGCTCTCTCTTCTCAAAATATTTTATACGCCCCCTATAAATGTTAATTGTAAACATCATATATAGTTATTACAAGTAAACCATGAGAAACATGTACAAAAATGTTGGGGTATCTTTATTATGTGTTATATATGCATTATGTAATCAGTTGGGGTCTTTTTTGGGTCAGAACATGTAAAACCTGTCTTAACCCAGTTTTAATAGGATGTTTGGAACTCAAAATGCAGATCCAGAACTGACCCTGTTAATAATCAAAGCTCAAGATACAGATTGATGCATATGGAGAAGCAAGGAAAGAATTCATAGAGAAACAAACCAATTCTCCATACGCCTCAGGGCATTTTGGGGGTGCCTTGCCTGGAACCTCCAGGCGTACACCTCCCACGCCTTCTAAAACACTGATGATATGTATGTATGTGTATTCATATGCTAGTTTGTGGGCATGTTCATGTATATGTATATGCTTGCATTTGTATATGCATGCACTATATATCTATTATGTGTAAATGTATTAGTGTGTAATAATAAAATGTAACATGTGAAAAAGTTTGAAAAATCTCTTTGTAAACCTGATTTTATACTGCTTATTGAATCTCATTACCTTTCTAGTTCTAAAAAAAAGAAAGAAATATCAACATAAAAATATGCAAAAACATAGTAAATTTAAAAAAAAAGACATTGTTTTTTTTTTGGAAAGGTAAGGTAAATTTATTAAAATTAACTCATAAAAAGTACAGAACAGAACCTGCCCATAAACAGGCAGGTCTGAAAGACTCCCACTACAGACGCCAGATTGATTGAGTTCTCAATAGATGAGTTACATTTGAGTTTCTGAATTCAGGAGTGACTGAGATCCAAGAAACCAGTTTACCAACAGCCAGCTGAACTATATCCTCTGCCCTCTCACCTTTTGATTAAAAATTCTGTTGTTTCTCTTAGACCAAATGGCACAAATCACAACTGCCAGAATAGTGGTCCATACCACTTTCCCTCTTTTCTTCAAATTGCTGATTTTCCAATAGCAAAGTAACTCCTTAGTTGATTTGGGCATGACCCAACAAATCCCCACCGTCTTCAAGAAATAATGCCACACCTGGGCAGCAAACGGGCAATGGATGCATAAATGGTCTGTAGTTTCCAGATGGTCGTCACAAAGGACACAAGACTTATCCTGAATCTGCAGCCCTCTTCTTTCAAGATTGGTGTGGAACAGACATTTGTCCAAAGCCATAGTCCAGATAAGAAAATTAACTTTAGAAGGACAGATAGGATTCGAAATCTGTTTTGCAGGAAAACCTTCCACTGCCACTCTGCTACCAAGTCAATTAGCCATTGTTTTGACTGAAAAAATACCATCCTTGGACCAATTCCAAATCCACTGGTCATCTTGATTATGGTCAAAGATTTGAGCCTGTAGAGTTTCCAACAGATTTGAAGCTTCTTGTATTTCCCAGTCAAAAAGACCTCTTCTGAACTGAGGAGCCCAAACCACTTCATTACCCAAAATTGAGTAAGAATCAGCAACCGAGACATCCTGGTTGGAGGCACACTGGAAAATAAGAGGGAATTCTTCTGCCAAGGAGTGATTGCAACACCAATGATCTTTCCAAAATTTAATTCTGTCCCCTTTACCAACTTTGAGGCTGATTCCCCCATCAAGAAGGGGAGCAACTTTCATGATATTTTTCCATAGAGAATAACTCCAGTTAGGAGGGGGGGGGGTTTAGTTTTCCAGTTACCCCACTCAACCCCAGATTTAGATGCAATTAAATTCCTCCACCAAGCACCTCTCTCAGTTGCAAATCTCCAAATCCACTTACACAGCAGAGCTGAATTTGTCACCTTGATTCTTCTCAGACCAAGACCCCCATTCTCCTTAGGAAGACAAATTTGGTTCCAATTCACAAGATGGATCTTCCTTTCTTCCTCCCAACCCCTCCACAAAAGTTTTATTGGAGAGTCTCAATTTTCCTAGCCACTTTATTTGGGATAGGGAAAAGGGACAGAAAATATGTGGGGAGATTGGAGAGAGTACTTTTAAGAAGGGTCATTCTACCACCAAAAGAGAGGTATTTAGCCTTCCAAGATGACAACTTCTTTTCCAATCTTTCAATAATTGGATCCCATATGGCAACAGATGAGCTTTTAGCTCCCAATGGAAGGCCCAGATACTTTTCCGGAAGCTGTTCCACCTGGCTAGCCAAAACAATAGCACAATCTTCAAGGTTAGGGACATCACCCACTGGAATGACTTGACTTTTGTTAAGGTTGACTTTCAGTCCTGTGACTACTTCAAACCAGCTGAGGATCCCAAGCAGATTATCCAACTGATCAAGAGAAGCATCTAAAAAACATAAGGTGTCATCCGCGAACTGAAGGATGTTCACTTTTTCACCCCCTGAGGAAATTGCAAACCCTTCCCACAGACCAGAAGTTGCTGCCTTCTGACTAAATAGAGTAAGGATCTCTGCAATACAAATAAAGAGAAGGGGAGAAAGGGGATCTCCCTGTCTTAACCCTCTAGAGCTCTCAAAAAAGCCTGCAGATTGATTATTGATCAGAATAGAAAATCTAGGGGAAGAGACACAAACTTTCATCCAATTCCTCCACTTTTGTCCAAAGTTCATCTTTTCCAAGACTTTGTCTAAACAATTCCTGTTAACATGGTCATAGGCTTTTTCAATATCTAGTTTGTAAACTAAACCTGGCATCCCTCTCTCATCCTTGAATCCAACAGCTCATTTGCAATAAGAACTGAGTCAATCATTTGCCTACCCAGCACAAAAGCACTTTGGTTTTTAGAGATCACACTGCCCAAAACTCCTTTCATCCTTTCAGCTAGGACTTTAGCCACAATCTTATAAAAGCTATTCAGAAGGCTAATTGGTCTGAAATCTTTGACATGAACTGCCCCTTCAATTTTAGGAATGAGAGTAATAAAGACATTGTTCAGGCTCTTTTGAAGGGATGCATTAGAATGGAATGACTGGAAGGCATTTAAGATATATTGCTTCACAAAATCCCAGCACTTAAAATAAATTGGAGAAGCCATCTGGGTCAGGAGATTTCTCATTGTCCAAGCTGCTGATTGCCATCTTGATCTCCTCTTTAGAAAAAGGTTTTTCAAGATAAATCCGTTGATCTTCACTAAGCCTTTTAAATGGGAGATCAATGGGAAAAGGTCTATATTTCCAGTTCTCCTTATAGAGGTTTTTGTAGAAAGAGGTAGCCATTACCTTGATTTCAGCATCTGTATCACCCACCTTATCATCCCAAATAAGCTTGTTGATAGTGGAAAGTCTGTTCTTTACATTTGCCAGTTTGTGAAAGTAGTGAGCGTTCCTATCTCCCGCTTTCAGCCATTCAGATTTTGCTCTTTGTCTCCATTTTAATTCTTCTTTGACTGCCAACTTGTCAAAAATTGCCTTTGTTTGAATTCTCTTCAGCTTGAGCTCTTCAGAAATTGAACCAACTTCCTCTGCTCTATCAATTTCAGCAATAAGACCTAGACAGGCCTTCTTCTCTGTTTCAGCA